TGTTGTCCTCTCCACGTGTGTCCTGTCTGTGGACGTGTGTCTCTGCTCTGATGTCCTCGCTCTGTGTGTCCTCTCTGTGTTCAGTTTGTCTTTGTTGAGGCAGTGAGGACTCTTCTGTCTTCACACTCACAGCACTAAACTTTGGGACAAACCTGAACAATATAAGATACATTTGTAAATTTCTCACACAATCTGAATAGAAATGAATAAGAATGAATAAATTGCAGTTTGAAAAGTGCCTGAGACTCACACTTGCAGCTGATCCTTCTCCTGTTTGATGTTGTGTTCTTCTCTAATGTGTGGACTCAGACCAGGACACAGAGACGGGAGCTGAACACCTGCAGGAGACAAGAGAAAGCGTTTGGTTTGTTTGTGTTGCTAATTTGCTTCAGAAATGTGCTGAACATAAGCAAACTGATGCTGACTGTTATTGCTCTTGTTTTATTTGGACTTTCTTTGGGCCTGAGACTACAGTTTATAGCACTAATAAAATACCCACATTATCATCATAAATAAAGTGCAGCAGTTTTTAGAGTTCAAGCTCGCTCTACACCATAGACTGTATAAAAATATATTTATATATACAGTCTATGTTCCACACACTCCTGGGAGCACGGTGGGACTGCTGTCATCCACTGGTCGTCCGTGGTACTGCAGTAGAGAGAAGTTTAGCTCACACTTCAAATGGAGATTACTGACACAGCCAGAGCTCTGAAATGATTTAATGAGAGCTTTTGGTGTGTGTTAAAATAGAGGATGTTTTAATACTTCCTATTAGTAATTAGTAGTAAAGCATCTCTGAGTGCAAGGTGTACATTTTAGAGTAGTGCAGGGGTGGGTAATTGTTTTTTCCATGGAGCCATAGAAAACAGAAAATATTGTGGAGGGGTGGACCAAAATGCTTAACTTAATTCTGCATAATATTAATGGTATTTCCTTATTTTAAAAAAGCAGTAAGTAGCATTGTTTTGACGAGCTGGTAAGACTGACTGTGCTATGACTAAGCACACAAAAAATGTAATTAAAAAAAATAAATAAAAGCAATACTTGTAGTCATAGCAGTAGAGATTACAGTAGGGCAGTATAGGACATAACAGTGGTATAGTTGCTAAGCATCTGCTCCTTCCAACCAGAAGTGGCCAAACCTCCTTGTCAAAGCCTGATCTCATCACATCTCAGAGGCTACGCATGGCTGGGCCTGGTTAGTACCCAGCATCTTTGAGTTTGGTAAGATAGAGCATAATTACATAAATTCTCTTAATGGCTGAGGTGTACTTTTGATATTGTTTCTCTATTTGTACAGTTTTTATTCACATAACTAAAGAAATTGAATAGCTGTTCTATGAGAAGAAAGAGCACCTGTCTAGATATGTAGTCTAATAAAAGACGTGTTCTTCTATTTTTAAAACCCATTTGGACCATTGTTTAGCCTTTATCGGCCATTCAATTATTTTATTCTGAAAGCTTCAATTTCACGGCACTGTGTTTAATTGAATGTGTGTTCTAGAGGTGTGTGCTTCTCTCATTTTAGTCCATTACCATTTATCATCAGCTGCTAAAAATGAATCACACTCCCACATCTGACAGTGGGTCCAAAGGGATCCAAGGTCCAAATATTTTAATCCTGGTTTGAAAATGAAGAAGAAATTAGATTTTTCTCATATCCAAAATGCAAATAAAAGTGATGTTTAATCCTTATTTAAGTCTTAGTTTAAGCCTATTTTCTTAGTAAATAGAATCACAACCATTCATACTGCTGCCATGACTATGACTGCAACTTATACTATACTGATTATACTATACTGTTGAAGTGAACATGAGTAATTTTGCTGCTACTTTGCTATTGCCACTGACTGTAAGTATGATACTCACTGTGCTAATCTACCATTGAGACTAGTACTGTTACAACTTCTATTACTACAACTACTGTAATAATTCTTCTATTTCTATTGTGACCAAATGGATATAGATTATACTGCAATTTGATTACTTTTGGTAGCATATGACTACTGCCTATCCTAAGATGTACTTTTGATTACAGCACTACTGCCAATATTACTGCTACTACTGTAACTAGTACTGCATTTACAACTACTATTACTACTACAGTACAAATTAACTAAATAGTGACACACATTTTAGGATTACAAGTTTAAAGGTGTAACTTTTCTCCATTGGCATGTGATTGCTTTCTCTGTTTCAGGGTATGGCATTAAACCTTTCTATCATCATGGAGACCAAACCAGACCAAGTTACAGGTCAGATCTGTGGAGAGGCGACCAAGCTAACATCCAGAATGCCTGTTTTTGAATGTATTTTAGAGCTATACCACCTGTAACTGAATAAATGCAATGTTGGGCTCTTTAATGTCATACTGTGGAACATTCCAGGCAGAGCAGTGACATATCCGTACAAAAAAGCAGGTGTTATTTTTTAAAAAGTTATATAGTGCACCTTTAAAATTGCTTTCTGGATTCAATTTTTTGACCTCTCTGAAGTATTTCAGTTCATTTCAGGTCAGCCTCTGAAGCGATTAGGCATCCTCTTTCTGTGTTTTGTATATGGAGATTGTTAATCCTTCACAGGGAAACCACCACCCACCTCTCGTTGCGTAATACCTGTAGGAGAGGATGAGAACTGCTTATACCTGTGACAGCGCACCACAGTCAGATTAAGCAGAACAGCACTTGGCCCAGGAGACAGATGACGCTCAGAGTGTTGTGGAAGTGATTCAGTCCCGGAGAGGACTGGAGTTTCCACTGTGAGAGGAGGAAAGGCACGTCTGCACCATGGGTAAACAACATATGTTACACACAGATACACAGGTGTGATACAGAGGTAGTGCTGAGACAGGAGTTTCACATGACATCACGTCATTCTATACTAGACCTGTTTATTTAAGGGATATTTCTGGTCTATGTTATAATGTTGCTTCCTCATCACAAACACACCTGGAGTTGCATTTTGTTTCATTCATGCATGTTTAACACACAAACCCTGCACATTTAAACTCCATAAACCTTCACTAGAATCACTGGGTAAATTTCAGCCCTGGATTTGCCTATTTGTAGTCAGGCTGGCACCACCTACTGCCTCCCCTCAATTGCATTTCTCTCCAGCGAATGGTCATGAATTGAAATACACTAGATGATTTGCAAGAACCCCGGAAGTTGTAGACCATGCACCGGCCAATCAGCGAAGAGCTGTGAAGCCATGACGTCAAACTCAAGCACCTGTCTGGGTCCCTTTTGTGGTACAGCACAACAGTAAACAAAGTGGTAGATTCCTGAGATTGAGGATTTAAAGCTGGAACAAAAAGAATGTTTGGTGAATTTTATCAAGATGTTATTGCGCTTCTCCCATCCAGGATACTGAGCATTACATATGTCACAACCAAATATCAGCAATTGGTTAAATTTAAAAAGTACACGCCTACGGTCAAGCAAATGAATCCTAATGCTGCGAGGCCAGACATTTGCCACAAAGTGAAACTGGCTGGAGAATCAAGCTAGCCAAGCTACAAAAAGCTCAAATGTAGCTGTTATTTTCAAAACTACTGTTTCACAACAGTACATTAAAGTTCTCAAGAATCAATTTATGCAATATAGGACCTTTAAATGTGGGGCAGAATATATTATAAAATATATTGTGAAGTTATACTCATCCAAACAGAGGTTAGTTTAGTCAGTAATTTTGTATGAATTGTATGGAAACCTCATTGGTAAAAAAATACTGTACGAATCCTGCATATATCCATGTAAAGGCTCATTCTGCCACTGTATGAAACTACATAAAAACATTATGACCATATATGTTACCTGCTCCAATCTCAGGCTGATTACATTATAATTTGATCTGGCATCCAATATGTTTATGATTTTGGTTTTGTTATATTGATTTAAAATGTTGTTTTAAATTAAACATAAAACTAACCACGCAATTCTCTTCTCTAGAAAAAGATCATAATGCACCGTTAATACATAGCTGTTTAAATGCTGTCATAGATTCACCAAATACCTGATATGAGGCTACGTGATTACTTGGCTTTTATCAAATCTGAATAGTGTTCATTTTGGAAGTGCATCCTCTCTAGCATAGGCCCACTTCGGTTGTCAACAGCGACCTCATGTTCCTGTTTGATATTCAGATCACACTCTCTGTTGTTGTGAGTATAAGAATGGTGCTCCCATTCTAGTGTTTTCTTTTCTTTTTTTTTTTTTTTTTTTTTTTTTGCCTTGCCTTGCCTTTCCTTGCCTACCCATTATATTCTTTTATATAATAATTTGCACTAGCTTTTATAGATATATATTTAAGTCTATATCATGGCAAATATTTAAAAAAAAGATTTGCATACTTCCTTACCTAACTAACTTATCTCTCCTGGTATCCTTAACAAACCCCAATTATGATAGTGCAGTGTCCTGTAATGCCCTATGGTCTAAAATCTCCATGGGCACATTGTTTGGCTTTAGATGTGTTGTTAATCCGTTATTATGCAGAGGCTTTCATGTTCCGCTCCACTGGAACACCTCTGGTTATGTAAAAGATGAGTCAGTGTGTGAGCAGTGTAAAAGCTCCCTCTTGTGGCTGTTAAAAAAAAAAAGAGAGAGCTGCATATCTCAGATTCAGTTGTATAGTCCTGTATTGATTGTCATTATCAGCTGGCATACAACTTTTGTGTAGCCTATATACAGTAATAACAAAGAAAGAATTTATCTTACCAGTCTAGCCTAAAATGTGCTTGATATGACTGATCTTGATTTGAAGTCTTTTCTCATATGAGTTCCTTGTAGGTTTATAATCAGAAGTAAAAAGCATCCATACACTCTTAATATGAATCTACCAGCATCTACAACACAGGCAATTTTTATTTTTGTCAAGACAAAAAACAAGCCAAGTAAACTTTCAACATTTATTTTATTTACTCCTACCATTTCTGATTTATTGTTGAAACATACATCATTTTTCACAGTAAATATTTACACAAACTGACCTGCAGGCTTGAGTCTTATTGCAAGTTTTATCTGGTTTTATGTTTGGCAATGGTTTGATGAAGTTTAATTTACAACAGGCTGTGCTTTTTAAACTTTTAGACCTTGCGTGTGGTTTGAGTTTGAAGAAATGTTTTATGTTTAAACCGCAAGTAAGTCTCAGTCATGTTTAGGAATTTTTGTAAGCCATTTTATCTGTTGCCACTAGATGGCGTGAGTGCTTCACAAGTACGTGGTTCGCTCTCGGACTGCAAGGATGGATAACAAAATTACGCACAGTAAAAATGGTTTGTTCTTTTTATAAATTTAATCCCTTAAAAATAAATTAAGTTACGTTAAGTATAAATAGGTAAAATAATTAAAATAGTGCTCTTGAAAATGTGTTTTGGATGGAGTAGGCTCTCGGAACGGCTAAAAAGCACTGTGCGTAAAGGCGACCATTTCACGTCTTTACAGTTGAACATTCAAACAAAATCATCAATAGCATATCCATCTCATTAGCATGAATTAAACCAGTTCATTTGGAAAGTTTCTGAGTGCTGTTTGGGTCAGTTGTAGTGCGCGTTGATGTTGGCCAGGCCGTTGATGTTGTTGACGCAGCCAATGTGTGATGGAGACACGGTGCTGAACGGAGGCTGCAGGTTGTGGCTGTGGTACAGGGAGGGCGAGCCGGTCCAATACGAGAACCCGGACGGACCCACGCCTCCCACGGGCCCCACCAGGTTCAGCTTGGAGATCCCGGAGAAGGGCAGCGGGGAGAAGTTGCCCTGAAACTTGTACAGGGCCTGTTCAGTGCTGGACGGCTGGCACACCTGCGCGAGCCCGTGGAAGTCAAACTTGTAGGCGTAGCGTTTGCCGTGGACCTTTGTCATGATGTTTTTGTCGTAGTAGTAGCGTAAGGCGCGGCTCAGTTTGTCGTAGTTCATGTTGGGTTTGCTTTTACGCTCACCCCACCGCCGCGCCACCTCATCCGGGTCGATGAGCTTGAACTCGCCGTTGGTGCCCTCCCACGCGATGCATGACATGTTGGCACTGTCGGACAGCAGCTCCAGGAGGAACTGCCACAACTGGATCTGACCGCTGCCTGCGCACATCGGGACAGACACGCACATATGGGAATTAGCTTATGGTCCAATAAGGGAATATGGTTGATGGTTGATATAGAAAATACAATGTGGTTGCTCTTTTTTTATTATGTGATTTAAATCAACTTACACTTTTATTTTATTTAACACATATTAAACATGTTTAAGGAATTGCGTAGTGGTAAATCGTATTGTCAGCTGGATAGGTTTCTTGTTACATGCAACATCTTGAGGACTTTTCCCATTCAGAAAATATAATATTTTGTTTTAAAATGTGTATCACAATGACAATGGTCCTAGATTCTCATCATTTTGAAAGTCATGGATATGAAGAAGTCCGCATTGTCAGTGTAGACTATTATTTATTTATTTATTTAGAAATAAAACAGGTCTTCCCTTGTCGGTTAAATTATATTATTAAAAAAACAAACAATCAAAATAAATTGCCCTGAATCAAGTCAAATTTTAGTTAAGTGGACTAAAGCTGCACACTGCAGTACAGGCCGCACAGTGCCGGTCCTAATGGTCCTGGTCCTCTTTGGTCCTCACCGTGTATCTGAGCTAAAAAATTACAAATACAGTAGGTGATTTTTTTTTCTCTCTTTTCTTTCTCTCTTTTTCGTTTTCTTTTTTTTTTTTTTTTTTTTTCTTCTTAAAAAAAAAAAAAGACAGCTTTTTATTGTGGATCAATTGCACTTTTACGCATTTACGCAGAGCGATTAGGCCCAATTGTTTTTGCTTTTTTCTTGACCAAGATGTTTAGATTTATTTCCATTAATTAATAGATTTTCATGTGACTTCTTGGATATGCTGAATATTTGTACAGGAATATATAATATAATATTCCTCCCTACCTTTCTGCACTCCGGTGTTGATTGGAGCCCATGATGAGCCTTTGGTTTCCTTCAACAGGTTTTCTGTCGGATCTGAAATCAAAACACACAATTATGTCCAGCCCAAACCATCCTCCTCCTCACCGCCTCCGGGCACGGCTCAGGTGACACTGTCAGTCCTCATTAATGCGCGCCAGACACTTCACTTTAAGCTATTTTAAAATCTTTAGGAGCTATAACGTTACAGAATTTACCCAAATATCTAGGCTATATACACATTTCAAACTATAAAATATAATTCTATAATTCTATTTAATGAGTAGAAAAGGCTAAATGAATCGTGTTTACGCACAGAATCGTAAAAACCAAAAACGTATTATATAGAGGGAAAAAACATAGATCCTAAAAATAGGAAATTAAATGTATCTTCTAAAAAATAAATTATCTCAGTCACTATGATCTAATAATTTTCCCTCTTTAAATTTTTGAAAAAGACAAAAAAATACAAATTTTAAAAATTGTTTTAAATAAAATGGTACGTATGGTTCCTCGTGCGCCCTGCAGTCCGCTGTGGGAGTGATGCTTGTCGCGTGTCTGCCGCCAGCTGCGCTCAAAGAACCAGCAGGAAACGCGTCCAGGAAAAAGGATTTCCGATTTCCGACAATGGAGTCAGTCTATGAGCGCGCGCTGCGGAACCGAGTCTTTCATTTCCCCCTAAAAGAGCCACGCGCAAACGCCACTGGACCTACCGCGCGTCCTGACCACCAAACCACCACCCTGCCACCCTCATCCCTCCGCAAACCTGGGAGATACATGTTGAGCCCGAGCTGTCCTCCGCTGTCCTGCTTCATTGTGCTCGAGGCTTTGCCAAGGCTCGCCTTTCATTCGGCTGCTGCCTCCGCCAAAAGATTTTTATTAAACTTTATCTCATAACTGCGATCTGGAATAAACGCGACACATTGAAGTTTCCAGGCAACTGTCAGAGGGCCCCATCTCTGAGACAATATTCAGACAGCAATTTCCCCTGGTGCATTGCTTTAATTAAAAGAGCAATTTACCTCTGTCAGCGCGCCGCCTGCCCACAATAAAAAGAGGCCCCGAGAAATTGGGCCCTTATCAATCCGCCATCACGGTTTAATAAAGTTTCCTCTCGCGTTAAGATCTGAGTTTCTATGGTGAATTGAAGTGTTTGACATGGAAACCAGTTCAGATCCTGCGCACTTTTCCGCCTCTTTAGCTGTGGGCAAACAGTCCAGGCCTCCAGCGCGTTGGATAAAGCGTATTTGCCTTAAAACTGCACGCTCCATTGGGCATGGGAAAACAAAGAGTCATTGGGCATACAGTTACGCAGCGTCTGTTCCTGGCTTTTAGGGGTATATGGTTTTATTATGAACGCAACACGCTCGTAACTCTGAAACCATTGCTTATAATAGACGCACACGGGCATTTTGTGTGGTTTGTTCCAGTGACAAGTCGTGCGTAATGACGTTTGTGAAGCGGCCATCAGAAAACGGTGCGCGCCATTTCAACAATATTAATTTCATTTGAACTGTACGTGCCCAATTTTAGATTCAGATTTGAATTAAGTATTGGATTGTTATTTTATGTTGATTTATTGTTAGAAAACACAACACAAGTGGTTATAAGTGTCATATTTATAACAAACCAGCGACCTTCTGATCCGCAGCCTCTATCTCATTCAATCATCTATTTCAGGAATAATAACACATTAGGATGGAAGGAAGAAGATAACAGATATATGCAGTCTTTCTGAACTTGATGGTCCTTCTTTGAGAGTAACAAAAAAAAAAAGAAAAGAAAAACAAAACAAACAAAAAAAGACAATATACAGAAAGAAATGTTGCCTATGTGGTCAATAAAGAGATTATTTAACAAACCACTACTGCCAAATATTTGTATTTAGTTCATATTTAGCAACATAATCAATTTAAAATGCAAGTTCAATTTAAAATGCAATGTAAGTAGGTATAATGATATCCATTATAATAAAGAGCAGCTGCAGATTGCTATCAAATAGTCACGTGATCTGGCAAACACCAATGAACAACCGGGAACAATAACGCACCTTATCTTATTTGGTTTACAGCCTGATAAAATTGGATTAATGCTAATATTGCAAATGACAGATTTACAGCTTGTCTGATGTAAGACAAAAATGACTAAAACATTTATCATAGGAGTTAGTTGACATATGCAAATTATGATGCCTGTTTCAACTTTGAATAGTTTATTGAAAAAATAAACATAAAAGACTGGATATCTGTGTATCAAGTTATGTTTTTCCAGCAACTTCCAAATACTATCCCTTTTCATTTATTCACAAATTATTCAGAGAAAATTAGAATTAACTTCACGGATACTATTTTGAAGCACAGTAACTCTCCCTTAACTCTTTCCCATAAGAGTCCAGTAGTAAGTGTTTTCCGTCTGTTTAAGTGGTGCACTTGGTCAGGAGAAGGTGAAGGGTGTGTCTTTGGTGTTCCAGACTTGCTTTAGCTGCCTGTGTCAGAGCAAGAATCACAGGCAACTGAAAACAAGCCCGGAAAACCAGACCAGGATCCAAGGAAGTCTGCCACCCTCTGCACTTGTAGGCACACTAAAACAAAACACAACATTTTAGCATTTTGTGATCTGCTGTGTTAAATGTTTTCAATATTTGGCACAGAAAGGCATAACAAGTCTACAGTAAAGGCGATTTTCACACTATGTGCTTCCCTTACAATACCATATCTCAAAGACCTGCATAGACTTGCTTTGTCATGAATGATCTAAAAGCCCTACTATTAGGTTTATTTAATGTATAGACTAAAATGAATATGTATAATGTTGTTAAAATTATCCAACTAGATGATACGAATTGACACACTAACTATTTTCATGTATAAAGCAATAGAATTCTGTTTTAAGCATAATTATATCTATTCAAAGACTCAAAGTAATGGCAGTGTTCACATATTTGACTGGTTAACAAAATCTCCTAAAATAGTTCTGTATTAACTTATGTTCAAATATTTGATTGCTAAACAAATGAACTAAAAGTAAACACAACTTTTTAAATTACTTGTATACGTCTATAGCTATATTTATTGTCAAAATCTGCTAAAATAGTTTAGTTTTGCAGTCAGAACTTACCTGTTTCTTCCCAAAGTGCTTCCAAAGTCCATAGAGCTGCAGTGTGTCCATATGGCCCTGGTCCAGCAGCTTTATTCCGTGTGGAGGAATGTCTGTTTGGAAAAGGTGTGTGCTGGAGCTGCAACATTTATGCTCAGATCCTGTTCATTTTGGGTGTGGGACTCAAGGCTCCTACAGGTGAACGTGTCCAGGATCTCAACATGTGATACAAAGCAAACACACAACTGTCAAACTGGAATAAACAAACACCACACAACTGAATCCACACTCTATGCGAGGCTGACACTTTGTGAAGTTAAACTGAAAGATAGAGGTTGAAAGTATTTTTACTGCTACTACACAGTGTGACTCATAGCAGGTGCAGGGTTTTTTGTGAGGAATTGCTCGAGTTACAAAATGAAAATGCTTTTGTATTTTGTTGACCCGTAAGCATACTGGTAAAACTATTAGCCTTAAAATAAGTGGTAGAAGCAATTATCTTTATTGCTGCAAAAACGTCTCAAGTGCATTAGCTTATGGTTTGTGGAACTTGCTTGAACATTGGTCACATGACACAGTGGAGGAACTGATGCAACAGATATCTGCATAAATATAGGAGGAAACACTCTTGTTACCTGTTCAACAAATAACCAACTTAAGTATTATATTGGGCATTAAAAAAAGACATAAAACACAAATGACAAGATGAGTTGTTTTTATTGTGACTGGATTAGACTTGTGAATTATTGTAGAATTGGGGCTGTGAAAAGAATCATAAAATGACTTCTTCCCCAACTGAAATAAAAATCAAAATGGTATGTGGCAGAGGCATGGACCTGGATTTGAGTCACCATTTTGAGGACTTAAAACTTGACTTGATGAAGACTTGATGAAGACTTGGACCTCCACTTGGACTTGAAGGCCAATGACTTGAGACAAGACTTTTTGTTTTTAGAAAGTATTATTGTCTTTATCGTTACAACAATCGATTGTGCTTAATTTTACATGAGCAAACCGGAAATGGTCAACCAGCAGATCCAGAAACATCTGCTGTTTCCCTCCGAAGCAAAGGCTACTTTCTCCAAGCTTTCTGAGAAAGCAGAGACTACATCCTCACAGCAAAGAGCTGTCTCTCAACACAGTGAAGACTCACCTCACGCATCTGCAGGATCCAGAGCTGAAGTGAAAGTCAATCACGAATTAGAAGAAGACAGTCAGAGAGTCACAAGTGAAGCTTCTCCCACCTCAGCTAATGTGGACGAAGCAGAGACTGATGTACCTCAGACTGATATCCAGGAACATGAAGATGACAAAGATGTGCTGATCACAGCAATTATGGAGCAAGTGACACATGAACTGCCATGAGACAATGCTGAAATACTGGAAGACAGGAGGGAGATGATACAGAGGCTCAGTTTCATGAGACTGAGACAGTCTCCATGTGGAACAGGCTCACCTGCACCAGAGGTCATGGTCCAGACTATTCAGAAAACCACAGTGGGGCAAACTGCCAAAATGTTTCAGAAGAAGATTCACAGTGAGTGGGCCTTCCATATCGGCTCCATTATCTCAAGAATCCATCTTGTACTGCTCCCGCTCAGTCCTACACCTTCTACTCGTAGTTGATCTTTATAAGGAAGCAGAGGCTACTTGTAGATTCAACTTTAATGAGGAAGAAGAGACTACTTCCTCTGGTGAGAAGATTGTACATCTGCCTAAAAAAACAGCTGGACATGAGGACAACAAAGAGCCTGTCTTTCAACACAGTAAAGACCTACCTCACACATCTACTGGACACAGAAGAGCTCATCTACACCAGAAGTTATGGTCCAGGCTGTTCAGAAAACCAAAGTGGGCCAAACTGCCACAATGTTTCAGAAGAAGCCCCACAGTGGGCGGGCCTTCCACATAGGCCCCATCATCTCAAGATTCCATCTTGTATGGCTCCCGCTCACTCCACACAACTGAGGCGGAGCAGAAAGTGTAGATTTTCTGACAAAGACATTTGATTAGTATTCTCTAACAAAGTAGGAAGTATTTAACCAAATGTTACTTACAGTTTGACTTACAGTTTGGTTAATGTTTTATTGACTGATTGATTGATTGAGTTAGTTAGTTAGTTAGTTAGTTAGTTAGTTGCATTTTATGTCAGTGACCTGCTGTGACTGGCTAAAACTCCACTGAGAGTTTATTTATGGGAGCCATCCTAGATTGATCATGGGTCGACTTAAATCAGAGCGCTACACATCAATATCAGCCAGGTTAACAGGACCAGACAAAAAATAAATATATTTTTTAAATTAATTAATTAAACCTTTATTTGATGTCTTTCATAAAAGTGAAGATATGCTGTCTGAAATGGCAAGCAATATTTTTCCCTTTATTAAATAAACAAAAAGTAGAATTAAGACAACTAAACAATTAAAATGCTAAATTAAAATTCTCCCCCTCCCCTTCGGATTATAGAGCATAATATAATATGAAGCCAATTTAATACTACTTTATCAAGTACATTTTTTAAATTATTATTATTTTATAACCAGAAGACATTCTGTGTCTCTGATTTATATATGATTCATCTATTGGTATACTATGGTAAAAAGTCTTCACAATACAAAACAGGTGGATGTTCAGCACTGCCCAGTTTTAGTAGTATTTGTTCATATGTGTTTATGATTGTAATAGTATTGTGGGACTCTCGGCCTCTCTTTGCTCAGTCATTGTATAATCATGATTTAACTGTAAAGTTTAACCTGAAGAATTGGTGAATGTCAGTTTGAGAAGAGTCAGGACCTTGGACAGAGCCATGATAAAGTTTTTTTCCAGGCCAGGAAATTTGTGACTACAAAATGCCATTAGGTATTTTTAAATTAGTTTTGACATATAAAGTTAAAAAATATAGTATTAAAAATGTAAGTTTTGAGTTGCACTAACATGACCTCTCAGATGCCTGAGAGTTGTTATTGTATCTGTACTTTCAAATACTTTCTTTTTCATGCAAAATGGTATTCATTTGAATTTGTATTTCTACCGCTCCTTCAAAAGTGGAAGAACAAATAATAGAAGCCATTGCAGTGTGGTGCTCTTGTTTATTGGAAATAGTATTACAATCTGACAAGAACAAAATTACACATCTACTGCACAACTCTGCACTACAACTTCAAAATCTGCAAATATTACAAAGCCAAAGCTAAGTCAGGGCAAAGGGAAACCAGGGCTCTGATTGAAAGTGCTAGTTTTAATGGTCTGTTCTGATTGGCTGGCCATAATGATATTTATATATCTATCTACTGAATGAGGGAAAAAGTCCTCAAAATGTTGCATGTAACTGTAATCTGAAACCCATGAATAAGGTGGAGATTGTTAATGTAAAAAAATAAAGCACAAATGGTCTCTAGATTTGAAGAAAAACCTTTATTTCCTATTCCACACTTTAGCATGCCAGAAGTAGGTTGTTATCCATAGAGCCACAGAGAGAGAGGGGGAGTCCTGGTTCAGTTCAGTTCAGAGTGGTCCGGTCCGGTTCTGGTCTAGTGCTGGATCCTCCTAATGGACTGCACCTGGTTGGTGTGGGCCTGGGTGCTGTACTCGTTGTAGTGTCTGTACTCGCCTTGGCGTCTGTCCCTCTCCAAGATGTACTGGTAACCACGGTAACCGGGGAACTGGTAGGCCACCCAGCTGCAAGACATGACGCCCATCAATCTGTATTATTATTCACTTTTATACAGCACATTTATATCATCATCAGACACTATGCATATGGACTAATATTGAATACAACCTATGAGAGACCAAGCAGCAAAAGTCCATACTAGGGCTGTACATCATCATCATCATCATCATCATCATCTTTATTCCGGACTCATGGTCCACTTTTAAAACAGACAAGGACAGTGACAAAACAAAACAATAAACATTTATGTTTTTAAAAGACAACCATACCAGTGTCTCCACATACTGGACTGATATCTTATTGCACTGAATCTCAAATTTGTGAGTGACATTATTATTTCATTGTCTGATTTGTTCAGTCTGCAGATAAAAGTGTACATTAAAATTCTAAGTACAGCTTGCAGAGTGTTCACTCATGCAGTAACAAACATTTCAGTCGCACCATGGCCTCCTCAAAATGCACCCATAAAGCATCATTGTACAATCACGTACAATTTTGAAAAAAATCTAAATGTAAATTACAATAAAATTTGCAATACGCATTTAAAAGTGGAATTAGTTTCAAAGTGCACATTGTAAAATATTTCTGAAGGTTAATATTTGACAGCAGAGAATAACTGATAAATTAATCCAAGAATCCCAAGCATTTCAGAATATGTTTGTAAAGGTCTAAACTACAGATACAACAAGATAATTGTATCAACTCAACTTGCGATTTTGATTCTATTGCAAATAGTTTAGAAACCCTGGGTCACATCTGTCTAGACCATGTCATTCATATTTCACATTTAGAGATAATTTCTAAAACCATTTCCCACTCTTCACAGTGACTCTAAACACACACAGTGATAGACTTACGCTCCGGAGTTGACTTTGATGGAGGGCACTTCCTTGCTGCACCAGCCCATGGCCTGTAGAGAGGGGTAGTCATCGCACATCTCAAACTTACGGCCCTGGAAGTCCTCACACTCGTACATGGTCACCTTACTGTCACTGTGGTTCTGAGGAGCAAGAGGAGACACCATTTTGTTGAGCTGGTATGGATGAATACAAATAAAGGTGCACTGTGTAACTTTTTCGGGTGGAGGGTCGGCCACGTATTTGTCTCCATGGAGATGATAAGCCATTCAACATATCTACATTGTATTTATTCTATTATATTGCATTCTTACTGCAAGCAGGGTTATCGCTCTACAGATGTGACTTGGCCTAGTGGTGCACATACCCTCCACCAGAAAAGTTACATAGTATGCCTTTAAGTTGTGGCAGTTTGTTCTGTGGTACCATCAGTGTATTCATGGGGTTTAGCTTCCAAAATTTTAAGGACTTTTCACCATTCAAAACACAGGATAGTTTCAAATTGCAGTTCAAATTTGTTATCATTTTGAAACCCATGGATACACAGAACATATAGATATTTCAGTAGCAGTTGTGATACAGAATAAGCGTTGATCGTAATGGTCTAACTCACAGCGCACTTGATGGGTCTGAAGGAGAGGAGGTGCTCGGTTCTGTATCCGCTGTTGCCGCTCCAGGCCTCGTAGCAGGGGTAGTCTCCCTTCTCCAGGATGAACTGCTGTCCCTGGTACTCTGGGTACTCATAACCCACCCAGCTGCACACAACACACAAGATATATACAGGAAATGAAGCAGGTTAAAGAGGCAATAGTATTACAGCACACCGTAGTGTATTACTATTAGGTTTTGGTATTTGGTAAAAGAAGTTAAAGAGACAATAAGCAATTAGCCAAAAAAAAAAAAAAAAAAAAAAAAAAAAAAAAAAAAAGTATATTATGTATTTATTATTCTTTATCTGTATATTATGGTATTTATTTGCTGTTTATTTGTTCATTTTTTAATTTAATTTACATTTTTTTATCTTTTTATTGATTGCATTTACTAAAAACAAGTTAAAGAAGCAGTAGTTTTCTTTTTCTTTTTTTTTTTGTCTTTTTTCATAATTTTTTCAACTTCATTATTATTATTATTATTATTATTATTATTATTATTATTATTATTATTATTATTATTATTATTATTATTTATTTTAATTTATTTTTTTATTTGATTCACCATTTCACAACTGTAACTCATGAATTCAATATATACGCCAACAACTGTTTTGTACTACCAACTTAAAACTGCAGTTTGATTGTAAATCCTGTATTATTATATGTTATTTTAGTCTGTTAGCGCTAACTGTTGCTTAGAAAGGCCTAGACCAGGAAAGATGCAGTTCTATTGTGAATACAGGGGACAATACAAACACAGGCTCAACTCCGGCTGCAGGGGAGGCTGCTGCTGCTGCTGTGGTCTTTATCTGATCTACAGTCACTCACACACAGACACACACAGAGAGTCTTATGGGGACACTGCATAGATTTACATTCATTATTTAGAGCATACAATGTAATAAAGAAATATCAGTTTTAGTTTAAATAGGTTTGGAATTAGAATAGTTTGGTCTGCATTTAATTTAGATGTATTTATATTAAAGTTTTTGTTTTAATATGTGTGCACTCCAACAGAATGATGAAGAAGAGCGACAGAATCCATTGGAACCAGTGAGACATATATACACAGCAAATAAAAACTAAAACCACCCAGCTAAATAAATCATAACCATCATTGAAGCTAAACTAAAAACAGGCTTTACTCGTTTTTTGCAGTGCGTAAAACATGTTGATGTTTCAAACTGCAAAGCATCCTCACAGCTCAGCGTATTTGAAAAGATTTGTCTGCACACGACTAGTTAAACATGCACACACACACGGTCAGTCAGCTGCACAGGGCCGGCTCATATGACTGCAGGGTCACACTCAAACGCATGCACGCCCATTTACAAACAGCCGACAATGAGAAATCCCCAGGGCATGTCTTTTATGGATATTTGAAGTAGATTAATACGACATGATTGGACAAATGCTTATGGTAAAATAAAATAAAAAAAATGTGTTGTTTGGATAATGGAATACATATAATACATAACTGGAGCAGCAAAACTTATTATGTTAAATTGTTCTTGAATCACTTGAATCTTGAATTTTGAGGAGTAGATGTTGATAGGTTTCTGAAATTTCTTTGGGTTATTTTTGGCTAGTTTCAGTATAGAATTTTAAATATATTTCAAGAAAAAATATCATGACAGTGGAGTAAGGAATGTATACTCAATCATGCAAGAAAAACACCACAAATTGAGAATTTTAGTTTGAAACCAAACATTTATGAACTTCTCAGTCTATAATGTAATGATATACGAGTCATTTTTGTTAATATTTAGTGTTTAGTCAGTTAGTTTTTTTACTTGACCTTATATGTATAGTTGACTCCAGGATTTCAGTGCTACATTTAACTAATACTACTTCATGTCAGTCTTGGTGTGGACTTAAATCAGACATTACTCCAACACTTTGTACACTTACGGTCCGTTCTCGACCTTGATGGAGCGGATCTTGCAGAATCCTCTCTCCATGATGTTCTGGCACTCCAGCATGAACTCGCATCTCTTGCCCTGGAAGTTCTCCTCCTCCCAGACTGTGATCCTGAACTGGCCCATCTGCTCCATCTGTTGAGTGTTCATGGCTGCGGCTGCTCCCTGACGGGTAACTTTCTGCAATGAGGGAGAACAAAATGAAAGAAAATATATTAGGATAAAGAGGAAGTCCATCGGAATTGAAAAATGCATGTTGGGGTGTTAAGCTTTACATACAAATCTTATACAGTATTCATGGATTTCAGCAGCTCCCTGTTTTAATCTGCAACATTTTGAGGACTTTATCCCCATCTATGTATCTGTGTAATATTTGTTTATTTGTGTTAATAATAAGTGTTAATCGCTATGGTAACGATCCTGATTTGGATCATGGATAGACCATCATGTTTTTTTTACAGATGGAGGCAAGAAATTGTATCTTGACAATGTGCAGATTTTGTTGCTGAATACTAAAACTATGGCTTTAAATTATATGGTTAACATTTTAGATTGTATTTCTTTTTGATAAATGTTATGAAATTAGGACACAATCTATACAAAAAGTGCCTCCTGCTCTCTTTGTTGGTTTGACATCGACCCATTCTTAATGCTGAAAACAACCAATTATCGTTTTTTTTTCTATCAGATAAAGTGGCTGGGGCCTTGTTTCTTTAGCAACTATGGGCCTTAAGTGGGTTATACATCAGTCACCCTTTCAATCATTCCAAGTGCAATTAAGCAGCACTAGTTCTAAGTAAACGTGCATTTAGTAGGAAGGACACAGAACAAAGATGGAGATGCTATGCACAGGACAACAAGACAACTCTGCCCCCAATGAAATACTCACAGAGCAAACACAGTTTTTCATTTCTCACAGGATCTGTTAAAGCTGCTTGGAGAAAAATCCAGCCATTTATCATTTTTCAATTTCTGCACCTCACAAGATGGCCTCCCTTTTTTTAGATAACATCCCCGTACACAGCACCGAGCCACACAAACAAAGCTCTGTCTTCTATACAAGCAGGGTACATTTACAGTAGCGATCAGAAAGTAGTCCTGAATAAATGAATTACTCAAGCACTATTATAAAGTACCATTGTTAATAAGAATAGTACTAGAACACAACTGAAGAAAGCTGCATATTTTGTTGGCTACTAAATGCAGTTTCGTTACAAAAATGGTCTAACACTTCAGAAATGATCACAACCACTACTACTACTACCAAATATTACTTCCTTTTTCTCACCCATACCAAAAGATTTTAAATGTAAACAAAATAAGAAAGTAATCTCCATTATTCGTGACATTACAGTAAAAGAAGGCTTTGTGTGTATGTTTCTGCACAAATTATACAGGTTAAAAAATATATACTTTTTGATAATAATAGTGGATTAGTAAAGTTGTAATGCCCCAAATATATAAGTTATCACCCAAATCATATTTTTATTTATGTTCACCAAACTCATAATTAGCTTTAGCATTTCCCCACAACATACAGTACACTATTACTGTCATATACTTTCCAGTTGGTAATATGAGGTGTGTGGAGATACTCACAGACGTAGTGAGGTGGGACAGATCCAGTATAATCAATGTCGGCGCTGGGTCCCTTGGGTGCGTTTTTATAGGGTGCTGCTTTGGGACAGTGGCCTTGCACACTCAGCAGCTGGGTGTCGGTGTGAAAGGGGCGCATTAACCGGGTGCTTTGTGGACCGTCCAAAACTCCATTGTGCCCAGAGCCCCCAAATCCCTGAGTCATCAGAAACAACAGGGCCAGGGAGAGGCAGCCTGACCACCGGCCATACAAAGACAACGCACTGACACAACACTTTGATTGGGGACAGGGGATAATGGACACATTCTGGGAGCTGATCCACACATACTCAGTACTACTGGTACTGCTACTGCTACTGCTACTGCTGCTGGTGCATGGGTATAGCCAGTGCTGGAAAGTAACAAAGTAAAAGTAGTAGACACATTCTGGGAGCTGATCCACACATACTCACATAAACTGGCGTAACTACTACTGCTACTGCTACTTCTTCTGCTACTGCTACTGCTGCTGGTGCATGGGTATAGCCAATGATGGAGCATAATGAAGTAAAAGTAAAAAGTACTGTGCTTATGTATCCATTTTAGGTATCTGTATTTTACTTGAGTACAGTTTAGTGGATACTTTTTACTTTTACTTCATTACATTATTGAATAGGACTAAAAAGTAAGTGTTTTTTAGTATTGTTATAGATCTGCTAAAAAGGTTGAGGGGGTTATTATTATTTTATCAAGAATTTGAGCAAACAAAAATATAATATAACATAATATAAGATATAATATAAGAAAAATGGCTAGATTCACTTGTTCTATTGAGCAAAATGCAGCCCAAATCTTTATCAAAATCAATACTTCTGAAGCTTCATTAGAGCTCAAAATATGTATGAAATACTCAACTAACAAAATGGAGTACTTCTTCGACCACTGGATACAGCTATAGCAGAGAACGAGGATGTAATGGCAAGATTGTACAAGAGAAGTTATTAATTATGAGAATTATATTAACATGGAAGTCTAGCTGGTACATATGGTATTATTATAACCATATAATATTAAAATGTAGTAAGAATGATGAATGCAAAATGGTTTTATTTGTTCACGTTAAAGATTTTTCGATAATTTTATACTTTCTATCTTGTTATCAATTTGACTTAACAGTTTTGAACTAAATTTCACATATCCTAAAAGCTGTTTTTGCTTTTATATGAACCATAAAGTAGAGCCAGTGGATGTTGACAAAATAAAATAATTTCATCTACTTTTGCTAAACTATTACATTATTTTCTAAACTGTGTACAAAGATTAAATACCTTTCACATTCATATTGCACATAGACGAATATTAACACTATTACTTTTGTGTCTCTGGAAAAAAAAAAAAAAAAACCTCAAAGCAACTCCTAATCACTTGCAGTTAAAAACTAAATATTTTTACCACAATACATTTAATTTTTGTACCTGTTGTGTGTATATTTTTGTAGAAATGGTAACTGCCTTATAAAAAGAATACAATTGCACATGGATTAAAACCAGGATTTATGAATACATAAAAACATTCAGTGCACCATGATTACAGAAGTTTTCCTGCATCGTTGGTGACATCTAGTGGTGAAAGCTCCCGTCACACCCTGTAATAAACCTGCTCTAACCACATGCATTGTTCAATATTTAACACACAGGGTCCTTAGCAGCAGAAAGACATCACTCACCGCTCTCATTGAATCTTATATAAAGCCGTATTACTATAGCACCTGCAGTCTGGTCATTATGTCGTCTCTCCATTGTCCCGTGTGTGTACATGTCGTAGCCTGCTGTGGAGCCAGGTGATGCAGGTGAGAGGACACACACAGGCACACAGATGGGGGGTTTGTGTAGCTTAAAATCTCTTTAATATTGCACCATAAATTAAATGTCAAGATCGTTTCAGTGATGTTACAATACACGAAAAAGGTGCGAGCGTTAAAGCTACACTATGTAAATTTTATGGTGGAAGGTGCACCTAGTTGTCTCCATGGAGATGTTATTGATTAGCTCAGAATGATCAACAGTGTGTCGTAAATATAATATTAAACTGTCTGTCTCTATCATAGACTGTATAAAGAAGTGGAATATAGGGGTGTGATGTCAATCATAGCGTTCGGCTCCAGTCAAATGAAGCTCATTGAGGTTTTCAGTTATTGGGGAAAATTTGCAGCAGGAATGTATTTACGGACAAAGTAGCAAAATAAAAACATCAAGGTCATGCAGAGTGGGTTTATAAGAACATTTTAAGACCAAAATGATGAGGTTCATTAGTCTGATTCATCAGCTGGTTTCATTTCCTTTCACTTCGTAGAAACCGTCTGACCTCACAGTGTTAGAATTTGTTCGCTTGATGGTAGGTGGGTACTTTTTATCATTTAACCAATCGCTGCTATTTGGTCGTGACATATGTAATGCGCCGCTAGCTGGGCTTTTCCCAAATCCCATAGGAAGAAGGGCAATAATGTCTTTCCCCCTGATAAAATTCACCAAACATTCTCTTTATTTCCGGCTTTAAATCCTTGATCTCGGGAATCCTTGACAACACTGAATATATCACTCTTCACTGATTGGCTGGTGCCTGAACGTGCACTTCTGGGGTTTTTGCGAACTGTCTGTTGTATTTTGATTCCTGACCTAGTTGCTGGAGAGAAACAAAACTGAGCGGAGGCACTAGGTGGCACCAGCCTAGAGGTTCACTGCAGAACTTAAAGAAAGAGGGGTAACAATATTTCATTCAGTGGAGCCAGAAGCACCCCCATACTTATTTCCTATTTGGAACACGATGGGTTGTGGGTTAGCTATGTCCTTATAGTGAATGATCTCTATGTAGATAACAGATGAAGTTTTAAGACCAAGTTGAACACGACTCGGTTCACAATAAGAATGTATATTTTAAGGTAGTTTTAATCAAATAAAACTACTGTAATTGAATAAATGAAGGATAGACCAGTCCCGTTAAAGCAATAACATTAAGCAAACCCCCACCAGAAAGTCGTAGTGCACCATTAAGTATGACTGATCTTAAACAAATAAATGCTAAATGCTGAAATGTTCACAGACAGGACAAAAACATGAAAAAACACATTCATAACATTTCCCATAACTATCATATATTAAGAAAGTATTCAAAACAAAAAGTGCCTTCCCAAAAAATTCCTCATCATGTTTCCATAAAATAGATATGATCATAAACTTATTGCAACTATATTTGTTTTACATAGACGAATGAGCAGTGTCTTTCTTCAACAGGTCTGATAAGATGAATCAGATGAGCTGCCATTTTGTGCCTGGCTCCGGTCATCCAGCTGATTTCACTGGGAAATAAAGCCAAAGGGGATTTGCATGTGACTCTGGTAATACTGGTTCTAGAACAACTACTGCTATGTTCAGTTTTCACCGGTTTCACTGATAAATCTAGTCAGTGGATACATTAGGTAGTATCACAAAGACAATGTTAAATATGTTTTATAATTGTGAAATGTAAATAGAGCTACTGCATATTTTTTAACCCCAAATTTATGTTTCATGCATTTTTTCTAGAAGATGTAACCTCAGCCAGAAATA